ATCCAAACTTCATTAAACGAAAATTCCCACAAATCAACAACAACAAAAAAACAACTCAATGGAGAAATGTAAAAACCACATGAACATCTGATTGACAGAAAGTCTTGTAGGTAGGAAAACTCAGGTACAGAGAGAATAGTTTAGTAACTTTCCCTGGGCTACAATCAAATTCATGTCTGACTTGAAGCTGTGCTCCTTACCACTCCTGACACTTCTTCTTATTCCACAGAGAGGGAGTGGCAATGTGACTGTTCTTAACTCTTCAGATGAAAAGATAGAGGGTCAGAGAGGCTAGGCACCTTGTCCCTCTTGCAGGACAAGCACTGTTTGGTTTGATTCCTGATCTGAGCCTGCCTTTACTACAGAGACAGACACTTGGTTCATTTCTGAGGCTTTTTGTGAACTTGATACATTTTGAGGGTGAGGACCCAGAACTATGATACATTAAGATGATCTGTCATGTGTATGATCATTTAATCATATTATTTAACCATTTAATCTTGCTAATTCACTGTCATGCATATGGTCAATTGCTATCAAAGTTCAGTGATAAATATCTTATAAAGCTGAGTAGGGAAAGTCATTAAGGAATGGTGCAGTCAAGGAAGACTTCATGAAGGAAGTGGTAGCTAAGCTGGACTATAAGGAAGTTAGAACTTAGAGAAGGGGATAGAGAACTGGAATGTACTTGTGTGTAGGATACATAAAAAGAAGGACAAAGGGGAGTACAAAGTTAAATTCTGAATGGATGAAAAGTCTAAATGGGAAAAGCAAAATTTTTGGACATTAGGAAGAAAATAATAAGACAATTTATTTTATCAGAACTGGGAAGAATTTATTTTAGTGACATAAAAAGCCGAAGCCACAAAAGAAAACATTCAGAAATTTGACTTCACTAAATTAAAAAAAAGTTTATCTAAAAATGAAAAAAACAAAGTTAAAAAATGAGTTGAAGATAGGAAGAATATTTGCAATGCATAAAATAAAAGATAAATATCCAAACTTCATTAAACGAAAATTCCCACAAATCAACAACAACAAAAAAACAACTCAATGGAGAAATGTAAAAACCACATGAACATCTGATTGACAGAAAGGAAAAAAAATAGCCAATAAATAATGAAGCAAAGCTATGACAAACCTAGGCGGTGTATAAAAAGCAGATACATTATTTTGCTGGCAAAGGTTTGTATAGTCAAAACTATGGTTTTTCCAGTAGTCATGTATGGATGTGAGGGTTGGATCATAAAGAAGGCTGAGTGCCAAGGAAGTGATGCTTTCAAGCTGTGGTGGTGAAGACTCTTGAGAGTCCCTTGGACAGCAAGGAGATCAAACTAGTCAATCCTGAAGGAAGTCAACCCTGAATATTCATTGGAAAGACTGATGCTGAAGTCGGAGCTCCAATACTTGGGCCAACTGAAGAGCTGACTCATTTGAAAAGACCCTGATGCTGGTAAGATTAAGGGCAAGAGGAGAAGGGGATGATGGAAGATGAGATGGTTGGATGACATCAGTGACTGAGTGGACATGAGTTTAAGCAAACTCCAGGAGATAGTGAAGGACAGTTAACTCTGGGGTGCTGCAGTTCATGGGGTCGCGAAGAGTTGGACCCTATTTAGCAACTGAACAGCAATGAAAAGGTGCTCTATCTCAAACATTTTCTGTGGGAAATGAAAATAATAGTAATGGTATATCATTTCATAAATATCACACTGACATAAAATTTTAAAATGATAGTTCCAATCTATTTGTAAGATGTTGAAAACTGGTACCTTTATGTACTGCTTAGAGGAGATAGCCTTGGAATAAAAACTGAGGAGGATATAGTTTATATTAAGTTGTTAAAATGTATAAAAACAACAGCATGAAGGACTAAGGAAGAAACTGATGCATACTGTCCCAAAGTTCTTACGTTATACATTATTTGAAGATAGACAGTGATGTTAAAGGTATATGTTTTAAGCACAGAGCAATCACTAACAAAACAGAATGTGTGTGCATGCTAAATTGCTTCAGTCGTGTGCAGCTCTTTGCAACCCTATGGACTGTAGCCTGTCAGGCTTTTCTATCCATGGGATTCTTGAGGCCAGAATACTGGAATGGGTTGCCATGCCCTCCTTCAGGGAATCTTCCCAACCCAGGGATCGACCTCAGGTCTTTTATATCTCCTGCATTTGCAGGCAGGTTCTTTACCACTGGGGCCACCTGGGAAGCCCAACATATGCATACTCCTATATATAAAATAGATAACTAACAAGAACCTACTGTATAGCACAGGGAACTCTACTCAATACTCTGTAATGGCCTATATGGCAAAAGAATCTAAAAAAGAGTGGATATATGTATTTGTATAGCTGATTCACCTTGATGTACACCTGAAACATGGTAAATCAATTATACCCCAATAAAAATTTANTTTGGCCACCTGATGTGAAGAGCTCACTCATTGGAAAAGACCCCGATGCTGGGAAAGATTGAGGGTCGGAGGAGAGGAAGGAAGCAGAGGATGAGATGGTTGGACAGCATCAAACTCAACAGACATGAGTTGGAGCAAACTCCAGGAGATAGTGAAGGACAGGGAAGCCTGGCATATTTTTGTTGATGGGGTCTCAGAGAGTTGGACACGACTTAGCAACTGAACAACAACAATCATGAGAGAGAATAGCTGTGCAATATAAAAAAAATAGTCTTCATAACAAGGAATATTTCCAGGTGTAAAGGAAAATTTCATAATGGATGAAAGAGTTAATTTATCAACAAAACATAACAATCATAAATGTGTAAGCACAATAGCATAGCTTCACAATGCATAAAGCAAAATTTGGTATACTAAAAGGAGAAATAGATAAACCTATAATTATGATTGGATATTTCAAAACATTCCTGTAAAATTTGATTTAATAATTGCCACAGAAAAACAGTAATGATGTAGAAGACTTGAATAGTACTATTATTCAGCTCAAACTAATTGATGTTTATAGAACATAGCACTCAAATAAGAGCAGAAAACAATCCTATCATATGGGATATTTAAGACGGACCACATACTGAGTGAGACACAAACAATTTTCAATAACTTATGAAGACTGAACTCATACAGAGTATGTTCTGTGACCACAATAGAAGTAAATTAGAAACCAATAGCAGGATATCTTGGAAATCCATGAAAATTAGAATTAAAGAACATACTTCTAAATAATTAATAGATTCAAGAGGAGATCACAAGGGAAAATGGTTTTAATTAAATGAAAATGAAACAAAACTTCAAAAGTGTGGCATGTGAAGCAGTGGTTGTGGGGAGTGTATGTATATACACAGATTGAACATTTACAAGAATTATGTCATAATGTTAACTCAGGCCCAGGGGTTTAGATTACAGGGAAATTATAATGTATGTCTTGCAACTTGCCATTTATTCCAGTTTTCCACAAAGACCTTCATTATCTTAATATTCAGAGAAAATAATGGTAATAAAAAAACTGACATTCAAAGATATTTTGTAACTTTCCCAATCTCAAATAGCTGACTAGGGAGTGAGTCATTTCAGATTTGATTCCAGCTGTGTCTCAGTCAGAAAACTCATGTCCTGGAGAAAAGGGAACCCTCTTACACTGTTAGTGGGAATGCAGACTGGTACAGCCATTCTAGAAAACAGTGTGGAAATTCCTTAAAAAACTGGGAATAGAACTGCCAGTTCTATTGCTTGGGAATACGACCAAGCAATCTCACTGCAGGGCATAAACCCCAAGGAGACCAGAACTGAATGAGACACATGTACCCCAATGTTCATTGCAGCACTACTTGCAATAACTATGACATGGAAGCAACCTAGATGTCCATCAGCAGATGAATGGATAAGGAGGTTGTGATACATATACACAATAGAATATTACTCAGCTATAAAAAGGAATGCTTGTGAATAAGTTCTAATGTTGTAGATGAACCTGGAGCCTCTTATACAGAGTGAAGTAAGTCAGAAAGAGAAAGACAAATACTTTATATTAAAGCATATATGTGGAATTTAGGAAGATGGTACCAACAATCCTGATCCTACATGCAGGGCAGCAAAGGAGACACATATGTAAAAAACAGACTTTTGTACTCAGTGGGAGAAGGTGAGGGTGGGATGATTTGAGAGAAAACCATTGAAACACGTACATTACCATATGTAAAATAGATGACCAGTGCAAGTTTGATGCATGAAGCAAGGCACCCAAAGCCAGTGCTCTGGGACAATCCAGAGAGATAGGGTAGGGAGGGATGTGGGAGGGGGGTTCAGGGTGAGGGGGACACATGTATACCTATGGCTGATTCATGTTGATGTATGACAAAAACAATCACAATACTGTAAAAAATTATTCTCCAATTTCAATTAATTAATTAATTTTACAAAGAACAACTCATGTCCTTATCTCTATGTTGTGCTGTTTCCCTATCATAATCTCTGGGCAAATACTTGTCTTAGTTAAGCACATCCATAGTACACAGTTTTTCTTGTGCTGGAGCACTCAAATATTTTATCTCATATCCATCCACTTGGGCTTCCCAGGTGGTACTAGTGGTAAAGAACCTACCTGCCTGCCAATGCAGGAGATTAAGAGACATGAGTTTGATTCCTAGGTCAGGAAGATCCCCTGGAGGAGGGCATTCCAATATTCCACTCATTCCAGTATTCTTGCCTAGAGAATTCCATGGACAGAAATCTGGTGGGCTACAGTTCATAGGTTCACAAAGAGTAAGACACAATTGAAGTGACTTAGCAAGTACACTTGCATGTCCATCCACAATGACCTGAGCAAGTGAAAGGAAACCTAGAGTAAAACTCTTCTGTTTTAGAATTAGAATTCATGTTCCACATCTTTTGGACATTTGTGAACAAGAGTACTTCTGGTTTTGTGAGCCTCACCTGATACTTATCAATAAAATCCATTCAAGTTAGCATGCCTATATCAAAAGAGTTCAGAGTATGGATATATGAACTGAACTGAATCTTTCAGCAGAAATCATGTTGCTGTGATGGCAGAGCAAGAGGAAAGATCTACCACGTTTATTTGAGGAGGTCTTTGAAGCTGTCCTGATTCTCCCTCTTCCCATGACCTGGTTATTCAACTATTTATTGGATTCAGTAAGTAACTTGGTATCTTTTCCTACTTGCCTAAGTAGGTTTTCATTACTCCAAATCAAAAGAATCCAATATTCCTAAGCAAGCTCGCCCAGATATTAAATAGGTATTGGGGATTTAAATAACAATTGGTTGAATTCCAGAAGGAGCAACTGTTTATATTCATGTTCAAATGCAATAGATGATAACTGCTGTCCAAAAATAAATTGTAATCTGTATACACTTGTCTTGAAGAACAAAATCAACATTTGTATAACTTTCTCCTCAATCATATTTGATTTAAATGCTTTCTATTTCCTAGATTACATTTAACTTATTTTTAATGAAAAAAAAAAGAAAGAAAGAAGCATCCTGCTTATGTAGGAAAGTTTCCTTCTCTCCTTCTGCACTCCGCAAATGCACATTTCCAGGTTTAAAAATCTTTCTGAAGTTTTCTTGACAAGAATTCCAGTTTTCAGAAGTTTTCTAATAAGATCAAAATACAGGTAACAGGACAAGAAGGCAATGTGCTTGTTCCTCACTTTTCCCTCATAAGGAATGGAGTTGGTTCTCACAGCCAAATAGTTCTGTGGTGTGGTGTTCAGGGATTCTAACAGAGGTGACTGACAACAGCAGGCTTTTTAAAAAAAAATACATTCCAGAAGCTCATGTACTCTGGAAATTCAAATTGCAGATCCCAGCTGGCCTGGAAACATCTGCTGTTCATTGATAACACGGTCAGGCTCTCATTTCAGCTCTTCACTCTGTTGTGAATTCATTTGTGTAGCTGCCTTCCTGAAACTGTTTATTCTGAAATGGCATGCTAGAAGCATAGGCCAAATAGAGTAAGTTTGCTGAAAGCTACAAGTTAATTTGATGGTTTTCCTGCTCTTGAATGAACTTTCTGATGCCTTCACCTTGTCATAGTCTGAAGCATATCAGTTCATTACATTTGGGGATATACATATTAATGTATTCAGTAAGTAACTTGGGATGAAATGTGTTTATCTCATTCTAGCAAAAGCTGATGGGCATGCATTTCCTAATCTGAATAATTTACTTAGAGGAGGGTGATTATGATCATACAGCATGGACTGCTGGATTGCATCTATCACAGGTACTTTTGCAGTGCTTCCTGGAGAAGTGATTATTTTTAGAACATCCATACCTTTGCCTTATTCAATTAATCACTCTTTGAATTACTGGCTTCACAGTTTAATTTGTAGTAATGTCATCAGGGCCAGCTTCATGGGCATGCCACCTGTGCAGTTACTTAGAAGGGCCCATGCTGCTTTAATACCTGCAATTGCTGTTTTGAAATTCCTAACACACTTTGAAATTATTAATACACTTTGAACTCTGGGTTTTCATTTTGCATTGGGCCCCACAGATATATATCCAATCCTGGGTGTCATCAAGCTACAGGGACATGAGGGTGGGTTAGTCAGAATCAGGTAATGAGGTGAGCACAGAGCTTGGTTACTGGGTGACCTGAAGCAAGTTTGGTCCTTGGTCTTCTCCATAGGAAAGGAATAAATAAAATAACTGTCCTTACTTACTCCCAAATTCTTTTGATATGTGAAGTAATGCTTGTGAAGATACAATGTAAGTGTTCATGAATAATATGTATGTATTAATATTAGTATCATATATCCATTTGTTGTTGGTTAGTCACTAAGTCATGTCCGACTCTTTTGTGACCCTATGAACTGGTAGCCCACTAGGCTCATCTGTCCATAGGATTTCTCAGGCGAGAATACTGGAAGTGAGTTGCCATTTTCTTCTCCAGGGGATCTTCCCAACCCAGAAATCGAACCCACGTCTGTTGCATTGCAAGTGATTTCTTTACCACTGAGACTTCAGGGACGTCTAATACCTTCATTTACTTTTTCTTAGACTTGAAGTCAAGCTGTGACTATATTGATTAATATTTAAGTCCCAGATGGCTGGGGAACACCTGTTATAGGGCACATTGTTTCTTCCCAACATAGCTGTTAGAAATTTTCACTCACTAAACTTTTCTAATATGTATATTCTTTAGACCTTGGGCCATGTAATGAATTGTCATTTCAGTTCAATTATACTCCTTGGCTCTACAATGCACTGGGTGATATCCTAAAAAGCTAAAAAGCTATTAAATGCCAGATTGCAACCGAGTAAGAATCTGAAGAGGAACTGAGGATCTTGCATTTGTTTGTTTTGCTTGATTTCATTTTAAGTGAAAATAGCACCAACTTTGGTATTAGACAGACTTGGCCTGTCTGTTTTGCTGTGAGAATAAGAGAACTTTTGGAAATGTTCTGAGGCTGAAAAATCAATTTTGTGAAGTGTCTAGTTTCATAGATCCTATGTGGCAACTATTATTATTTATTTTCACTGTTTACTGTGTACTCTTGTTTCATAAATGGTGTGTTTGTGTGTGTATGGATCCACAACTGGACTGTAAAGTCTTTGAGGTCGTAAATTGTGGTTTACTTTTCTTTTTAATCCTCTATAGCTTCTAGTATAGTGCTGAGCATTTAACAGATAGGTTCATAAAAACTACTTTTTGATTGATTTTTTGACAGAACTGAAATTAAAAATCAACTGCAGCTTTGTCAAATGCATTTATAAACACCAAAATTGCATTCTGGCAGACTAACTACAAATTTCAATAAGATCCTAAGAGCATCTGTGCATTTGTGTCTAGGCTACAGAGACATTTTTCAATAATCAGTCTGTGGAGCCCATCAGTTTAGAAATCCCATTTGGAGAACTGATAAATTTGTTCTGAGTTATTCTAGGCTATACTGGACTACAAGAAGCAAGCTGTGCCCAAATTTTGAGGACAGTGTCTGCATGTCATTTCTGAAAGGACTAATGCAGATGCCATGTTTTTATAAACTGGAGATACTGAGGTAGTATGGTAGAAAGTATCAGGGGAGTGGTGTCTGAGCACAGAGAACAGGACTGGGACACAGCTTGGGAATGGGAAGTCATTCGACGGTAGCAGAATAACAAAGAATGCCTGCCCCTGGGGAGTGACAATGTCTAACATCAGCACTGACATGTTTCTGGAGCTCCCAAAGAAGAATGATTTGGCCTTAGTTAAGGATCACTGGATTTGGGGAGGAGAGTAAGGGGAAAGGATGAAAATACACAAGGCTTTTGTGTTCTAAGCCTGGATTTATCTTGGAAGTAGAGCAGAACCGAACTGCTAGATGCGAGGCCTGTGGCCTCAATGGGCGTGCACTGAAGAGATGAAAAGCAAGGGAGGTCAGGCAGAGAGGATGAACTCCTCTCCCCACTGAGCTTACTTCACTCCTGGATGAGCTCCCCTGCTATTATCTCCACTGATCTGGGAAGCAGGCAGGAGTGAGGGCAGATTGGAGGCTCATAGGCATGTGTTATGTTGTTTTTTAAAATAGCACAACAGTGTTTGTGCCACCTAGATCTTAGGGTGGCCTCATGATTTCTGTCCCGTAATATCCATGTGCTGTATACTCTCTTCCCCTTGAGTGTGATCATGACTTGTCATTTGCTTCTAGACAAAGTAGCAAGGGACTTTGCAAATGTATTTAAGGATCCGAATCAGTTGATTTTTATTTTAACAGAGTGATTTATTCTGAACTACCGTGAGTGGATCTGGAGTGAAAGTTCTTAAAAGAGAAACTGTGTTCTTCCTGAGGTGAGAGGCTGTCCTCATGAGTTTGACAAAGTAAGTGACCATGTTGGAGAGACCCACATGGCTAAGAGGTATGTTAAGAGGGCATCCTTGAAGATCTGAGGCCGGTTTTCAGTCAAGAGATAGCAAAAAGCTAGCTTATAGGGTTGCAAGGAAATAAATCTGAATGAGCAAACTTTTCCCCAGTTAATCCTGCACTTGATAATTCAGCCTTGCTGACATCTCTCCTGAAGCCTTATGAGCCTCTGAGTAGAGGACCCAAATAAACCATGCTCAGACCCCTGACCACAGATACTTTGTATGACACAATACATGTGTGTTGCTTTAAGATGCTAAATTAGTGGCAGTTTATTATGCAGAGATGGAAAACTAGTGCAGTGCTTTAAATAGCAATGCAACCAGGCAAGAGTTTTTTCAGATCTTTGTTTTTATTTTATTTTACTTTATCTTTTTCTAGCTTTACTGAGGTATAAATGACCAAGTAAAATTGTGTATATTTAAGGTATACGAGGTGATGATTTGATATACATTGTGAAATGATTACTACAATCAAGCTAATAACTGGCTTATCCATCAGCTTTCATAGTTATCTTGTGTGTGTCTGTGTGATTATTCTTAATATTTACTCTCATTTAAAGTATACAATACAGGACTACTAACTATAGTTATTGTACTGGATATTACATCCCCCAAACTTATTCTTCTTAGAACTGGAAGTTTATATACTTTGGGTGACATCTCTGCATTTTCCTTACTCCCTGGAAACCACAGTTCTGCTTTCAGTTTTATGAGTTCAACTTTTTTGGATTTCACATATAAATGATATCATATGGTATTTGTCTTTCTCTGTCTGGCTTATTTCACTTAGCACAATGTCCTCCAAGTTCAAACATGTTGTCACAAAGTGACATATGTATCACATTTCCTATATCTATTTATACATCATTAGATATTTATATTGCTTCTGTGTCTTGGCTCTTGCAAATAATGCAATAGGCATGAGGGGTACAAATATCTGAGATACCGATTTCATTTTCTTTGGCTGTATACCCAGAAGTGGGATTGCTGGATCATATGGTAGTTCTATTTAAAAATTTTTGAGGAACCTTCGTACTGTTTTCTTAATGGCTGACCAATTTGCATTCCCACCAACAATGTACAAGGATATCCTTGTCTCTTACATCTGCCAGTACTTGCTGTCTCTTATCTTTTTGGTAATAGCCATTAAAACAGATGAGAAGTGATATCTCATTGAAGTTTTGATTTTTATCTCCCTGATTAATGATACTGAGCACCTTTTCATATGCCAACTGACCATTTGTATGTCCTCTTTGAAAAATGTCTATACTGTTCTTTTGCTCATTTTTAAATTTAGTTTTTTTTTTTTTTTTGCTGGAGTTGTATGATTTCTTTATGTATTTTGGTTTCTAACTCCTTAGCAAATATAGTTTGCAAAATTTTTCTCCATTCTGTAGATTATCTGTTCATTTTGTTAATTATTTTCTTTGTTAAGCTTTTTAGCTTTATGTAGTTCTACTGTACTTGATGAAAGTGAAAGAGGAGAGTGAAAAAGTTAACTTAAAGCTCAACATTCAGTAAACTAAGATAATGGCATCCAGTCCCATCACTTCCTGGCAAATAGATGAGGAAATAGTAGAAACAATGAGAGACTTTATTTTTTGGGGCTCCAAAATCTGCCAATGGAGACTGCAGTCATGAAATTAAAAGATGCTTACTCCTTGGAAGGAAAGTTATGACCAACCTAGATGGCATATTAAAAAGCAGAGACTTTACTTTGCCAACACAAGTTCATCTAGTCAAGGCTATGATTTTTCCAGTAGTCATGTATGGATGTGAGAGTTGGACTATAAAGAGAGCTGAGCGCCAAAGAATTGATGCTTTTGAACTGTGGTGTTGGAGAAGACTCTTGAGAGTCCCTTGGACTGCAAGGAGATCCAGTCAGTCCATTTTGAAGGAGATCAGTCCTGGGTGTTCATTGGAAGGACTGATGTTGAAGCTGAAACTCCAATACTTTGGCCACCTGATGCGAAGAGTTGACTCATTGGAAAAGACCCTGATGCTGGGAAAGATTGAGGGCAGGAGGAGAAGGGGACAACAGAGGGTGAGATGGTTGGATGGCATCACCAACTCAATGGACATGGGTTTGGGTAAACTCCAGGAGTTGGTGATGGACAGGGAAGACTGGCGTGCTGTGGTTCATGGGGTCGTAAAGAGTTGGACATGACTGAGTGGCTGAAGTGAACTGAACTGTAGTTTTATTTTTAGTTTTGTTGACTATGCTTTTGGTGTCATGTTATAACATAGTTATCAAAGGGGAAAGTAGGAGGAGCGATAAGCTAGGAGTATGAGATTAACAGATACACAATCCCATGTATAAAATAAATAAATATCAAGGATTTAATGTATAGCACAGTGGCTGACTTTTTTTGGGGGGGCTCCAAAATCACTGCAGATGGTAATTGCAGCCATGAAATTAAAAGACGCTTACTCCTTGGAAGGAAAGTTATGACCAAACTAGATGGCATATTAAAAAGCAGAGACATCTATTTGTCAACAAAGGTCTGTCTAGTTAAGGCTATGGTTTTTCCAGTAGTCATGTATGGATGTGAGAGTTGGACTATGAAGAAAGCTGGGTGTTGAAGAATTGATGCTTTTGAACTGTGATGTTGGAGAAGACTCTTGAGAGTCCCTTGAACTGCAAGGAGATCCAGCCAGTCCATCTTAAAGGAGATCAGTCCTGGATGTTCGTTGGAAGGACTGATATTGAAGCTGAAACTCCAATGCTTTGGCCACCTGATGCGAAGAGCTGACTCATTGGGAAAGACCCTGATGCTGGGAAAGATTGAGGGCAGAAGGAAAAGGGGACAACAGAGGATGAGATGGTTGGATGGCATCACCAACTCAATGGACATGGATTGGGTGGACTCTGGGAGTTGGTGATGGACAGGAAGGCCTGGCGTGCCGCGGTTCATGGGGTCACAAAGAGTTGGACGTGACTGAGCAACTGAACTGAACTGAACTGAACAGGGAACTATATTCAGTATCTTATAATAACCTATGATGGCAAAGAATCATAAAAAGAATATGCATATAAACATATATATATGTATAAGCCAAATCACTTTGCTGTATACCTGAAGCTAACACAATATTGTAAATCAACTGTGAATGTGAAAGTGAAAGTGAAGGTCACTTAGTCATGTCTGACTCTTTGCAACTCCATGGACTATACAGTCCTTGGAATTCTCCAGGCCAGAATACTGGACTGGGTAGCCCTTGAGTAGGTAGCCTTTCCCTTCTCCAGTTGGTCTTCCCAATCCAGGGATCGAACCCAGGTCTCCCACATTGCAGGCAGATTCTTTACCAGCTGAGCCACAAGGGAAGCCCAATCAACTATACATCAATTAAAAATAAAAATAAACCTATTTACCATTTTCCAAATATATTTTGAATATTTAGTTTTTCTTTGTTATGATTTTTATAGAAAAATTCCCATGAATTTAACATAATTGGCTCACGTTTTTGCATTTCTTTATCTTTCTTGTTCAAATGCCTCATAATTATACATTATTATAATAGTTTTTTTAACCAACTTTCTTCTTATTTTGTCATTAACATCTCTTACAGAGAAACATAGTCTATATGAAATAATCTTTAATCATAGTATTCAATTGCATATTTATTTAAAAAAGTAATTTTATTGGCATAATTTGCTTAAAAAATAAGTAAAATAAAGAACATATCAGTGGTTTCCTATTGTTTGATATTATAAAGAGGTTTCTTTTTTCTTTTGAATTATTTTTTCATTATATTACTAGATCAATGGTCAAAAATATGAAATATCTTAATTTTTTATGTTTTAGGTTTTAATACAACCTTAGTGATGTGAACAGATTATTTCCCCAATTTTACAGCTGAGAAGCTGGCTAAGAAAGTCAAGTGATTTTTCCAATTTCAAACAGTCAGTAACTGGCAGAACCATTCTTATAAAAGTGACTGCTGATTCTTGATTTTTCCTTTTAAATAAGGGATATGAAAAGCTTTTGCTTGTTTGGCTTTGTTCTATTATGGGTTTAAAATTTTCTTTATGATTTCCCCAATTCATAGTTTTTCCATATTTGGTCACAAGATTTTGGAGAAAGGATTTCAAAGAAAGAGAGGAGAATGATAAAATGTAAGGCCCTACTATACATAACCCACAAACTGTCAGCCCATTCTCCCATATAATTTCAAAGAACCTAAAGCAAATAGGAATGCTTGAGGTCCTTCAGAAAGAGATTTGGCTGCTAAGGGAAAGTCATTGAAGCTTTACAAGCCTTGGTTTCCTAATTTGAAAATACAGGATAGTAATTTACCCTGCCTCACTACATTTTCTGAGGAACAAAGTAGAAAACGCTTTGCCATTTTCTTAATAAAAGTTTCTTTTAATAAAAGCTTTCTTAATAAAAGGTGGCCAGGGTATCTCCAATATTTGAGTGCATTTTCTATCTTAAAAACTATTTCAACACTTGCCTACACTATCTTAATCTTCCTAATATCATTGTGAGACTAATTACTTCCATTGTTATAGATGAGGGAGCTGAAGATTCATAGAAATTGTACTTGTTCAAGGTCACATACTGAGTAAATAACAGAAATTAATTAAATGGTCTGATTCCAAAACCTATTTTGTTTGTTTTATTTATTTATTTTTCCATTATATGTTATACTGAATCTAAAATAAAATAAAAAAGTCTGTATTTATAACTCAGATTATGCCTACTTTATAAACAGAAACTGGTATATTATAGAAATTTGATTATCTAGGAGGATCAAGAATGTGGCAATTGAATAGATTTAATTTAGTCTCCAAATGTGACATTGCACCAGTGCTTGTGCGCGCGCGCGCGCGCGCGCGCACACACACACACACACACACACAAACTCAGGAAGACTAAATTTTCCAACAGAATTTTTTTTTCCATTTATTTTTATTAGTTGGAGGCTAATTACTTTACAACATTGCAGTGGTTTTTGTCATACATTGAAATGAATTAGCCATGGATTTACATGTATTCCC